TAAGTTTTTCCGTTAATTAACCTGCCACATCAGCCAAAAATTAACAGAAGGACCAAAAACAGGCCGAATTTGTGAACAGTAAGGATAAAAAAGGGGCTTTTTTCTATAGTAGAGGAACCAAAAAGGTATTTAACCAAAAATGATAGGTTTGATTGAAGAACTGTTGCTAGGTTTGATTGAGAAGACCTTGATTTTTTTGGGTTTTTTGGAAGGTTGAAAGGGCATGTTTATTTTGGGGAGATTCTGGGTTTATGTTTGATATTTGTGTTATACTTGGATTTGATGTTAGAAAGTGTCTGGGTTGCAGAAGGTGAAAGGAAATGAAGAGAAAGAAGAAGTGGTTGCTGGGTTCGATTTCAAACCCAACACACCTACTGGGTTCAATTTCAAACCCAACACACCTGCTAGGTTCAATCGATCCAGTGACTATTGGGGTTCGAAAAAACCCAATTGTGCTAGGTTCCTTTGAACCTAGCTTTCAAACCCAGCAAAAGAGAGAAATTGGAAGGATCTAGATCTATTGTTGGGGGAGGGATAGAGAGAGAAAAAAATGAAAGGATGAAATTGCAGGTTTCATTGGGGTTAATTGCAGGTTTCCTCTTTAGAGTTTGTAGAAGGCAAGGAAGAAGAAAGAGAATTTTTTAACTATTTTTTTGCCATATCATCATTTTTTTTGCCATGTTGTCTTCCTGCGTGTATTTAATATGTAATATGTTGACATGTCATCCTTTCTTGTTAACTAACGGGACACGTAAGTGGAATTTTAACGAAGGGATTAAATCAGGGTCAAAATGGTAAACAATAAGGACTGAATCAGGGATTTTTTGAGCTGAGGGACTAAGTCTGGGGTCTTTACAATAGTTGAGGGACCAAATTCGGTTTTAACCAAATATTTAATTCAAGAATCTTTTTATTTTTCCATTTGTCAAACAAATAAAATACAAGTAGAAGTACTGGTTACAATTTGCTTGAATGGTTGTACGTTGTGCTATGACTATTGTACTTCAGTTACTGGGCTGACTGTCAGGCGGAAATTTGGTTAACCAGAGAGATCCGATGCGGAGGCAACCATTTCTTCCGATTTGTTAATCCAATTCTCAAGAATTCCGCCAACCATATGGATACGAAAACTACAGGGCTCGCCAAATCGCACTCCCGTCCCCGGAGTTTCTTTGACGATGACGACGATGACGACGAGCACGAACTTCACTCCTTCGATTTTCGCCCAAGTCGCTCCCACCAATACGTCACTCTTGATCCGACCAGATTCAGAGTATCGTCTTACTCTAGTTTTTCCACAGAATTTATTCTTCTTATGTGCGTTTTAATCGGTTCTTTGGCGGCGGTATGCAGGACCGGAGTTCTATAGCGGACACTGATTCTCTCAAGGATACTGGTGACAGAATTGGGGCTTCATTTGTTGCCGCATTGATTCATGAGATTGATGGAAAGATAAAGGAGCACATGGATACTCTTCTACACGCGGTGGGAGGACTAAATGCTCGAGTAACTCAGATGGAAACCAGAACTCGTCAGTTGGAGAACGCCGTGGATGAGCTGAAGGACTCCGTTGAGTTCAACCACGGGAGGACAGAGGGGAAGCTTAGGGATCTTCACAATATTCTAGAAGAGGTATTTTCAAGTTGTGCTGATTTTAGAAACTTTCAATTTTCTGTGAATTTCTGTTTTGAAGCTTCAGTTTCCTAACTATTTTTTATATTTAAAATTTATCTTATCATTCCATTTCCTTTTTACTGTAGTATTGGTGAATTGAAAAATCAGCAATAAAGTTAGCTATATAGAGGTGTAAAAAGATTGCAGATTAACAGTGTTGAGCTTCTCGGTGGTGTGTTGATGCCATTGTTGTGTTGATATAGCTAAGGGTTGATAGGGTTCTTGTTGAAGCATCAATTTTTTTTTTCTTTAATATCATTCATGAAGTTGTTATGATTTCTGATTCTGTTTGAATAATGGTCATGGCATGTCACAATGACGTAAAACAATGTACTGACTGCTTCATAGACGAAGCTAATAATATCTACTGGTTCAAGGGTTGATTTCTTTTTGTTTTTTTTTTAGGTAAAAGGTAATTTACCCAAAAAATACAATCTGTACGAAACAGAACACAAGATAGGCTACTACTATAAGTATTTACGATCTGTATGAAACTTCTAACAACTAAGAGTACAAAGAAAATTAGTTTCTAAGATGACTTCGACACAAGATGGTTGATTTGTTTGTTTGTGTTTGATTCCTGTTTGAGTTTAAGGTTTAATGCTATGTGGCCTGGTTCTAGATAGTTGATTAAGGAGCCTGAAACTTCCATGTTAAACTCTTTTTATGCTTTGCTTGCTTAGTCTCATTTGAGGACAATTATGGTTCCCCCATTTTCTAGTTGTAGATTTACCATTAGCACTACAACTGAATGTTTTTGCCTCTGCTTTAGTGGCAAGGTAAATTATGTCCTCCTCTTTGAGTCTCAAAGAAAGTCCACTTTTTCTCCAATGCTTAAATTCGCTGTCTTGAGGAGGCACAATTTTGTTTCTTGATTCTTGCCGAAGATACTAGCTATTTAAGTGTAGAATGTCTTTGACTTTGCCTGAATCTTAACTTGGGAGATCACTGAACTATGGACCTTTGGGCAGCAGGTTGCTCATATCTTATTATCTATCCTCCAACAATAACTTATTGGCGTTACAGTTTGTTGTCATATGGTTATTTAGCTTAGTTGCATCAAACAAGTTATTCACAATGGTATCTCAGTCTTGAACTCTTGATCTAGGGAAATATGAGTTTCTATTTACAATCCTCTATGGCATAGAGTTGAGTAGAACTTAGTCTAGATTTGGACAAAATTTCATACTGCTCCTTTTTCAATATAGTAATATTTGAACTTAAAACTTGTGTCACCCAAACCCCCTATTGCCTGAGCAAATCCCCATTCGGATCCATTAAAGTATGATACCCATTATAGTGTCATGGAAATCTCATCTATGTGTCTTGAAAGGCCTAAAATAATATGTATTCATGTTGTCCCTATTCTTTTGCTCCCATTTATTTGAAGGACATTAGGGTTCATTCTGTTACTATATTTTTTCAAAAAAATTTTGGTCATTTTACTTGGTCACATATTCCTACTATACTATAACTGACAGAACATATTTTGCTGTGCAAATTATTCTACAAATGTGAGTATGTGATGGTTACTATTACTACTCCCTCTATTCTTTTTTTTAGTTGTCCCACTTTCTATTTCAAGGAGAGACCAAAATTTTTATTCCATCACTACCGTATTATTACTAACCTAAAAAGATCGTTATTAATTAATCAACTAGAGAGAGAAGAGCATTTTGGCTTTTAAAAGGGCTCTAAAATGATTAGGTGTAAATGAGGTATTTCAAGCTCTAATCATTGTGTTTTTAGATTTTCCCTAAGATACCACTATAATTGTGCAACCCCAAAGTGGGATAACTAAAACAAACCATGGGAGTAAAATGTTAAGAATTGTTAGTAGAAGAGATGGAAGAAACATATATTTCCAACGTGAACTAGAACTCCTAATGGGTGATAAACTTATTTCATTGACTGAGAGGAAAGGAGTACATAAGAACTTTGTCATTTCTTCTATTAAGGATATCAACTTTTTGAGTTCCTCCATCAGGCAGTTAACTTTCACTTTATTCTAAATTGATATAGGAAAGAAATAAGTAACTATTTCAGGATATGAGCTTTCACTCTTTTCTATATAAGGATTTATTGGATGGCGATAAAGACATGGCAAATGACAATCTAAATCAGAATAGGGCAATGTTCATATCCTTAAATAAAAAAAAATGACAATTTGTATCTTTAAATAAAAAATAAGTGAAAGTAAACTATGTGATTTAGAAATCCAAAAAGTTCGTATCCTTAAATTAAAAAAATTGAAAAAGTTTGTATCCTTATCTATATATTTTCTCCATTGACCAAGGCAAAAACTCTGTTTGGGAAAAGTTCTTGCTAGCTTTGGTTCTTATGTGATGACGCTGCTTTAATAGTGGTGCACTTTTAACATGCTGATTGCAACTTTTTTTGTGATATCTTGTAGGTTCAAGGTGGTATCTGTGATTTGAGAGATAAACAGGAGATAGCAGAGGCTCAGCGACAGCTTGCTAAGCTTAAAGCATCCCAGGTTGAGCAGCAATCGGGAAAACAAAACAGTAGCATTCAGACTGACTCAGGTGACAAAGTACCACCATCTGTCCCGCAGCAAACTCATCAGCCATTTCCAATTCCTGTGAATCCACAACAGCCTTCTCCTCTACCTTCTGGCACCCTTCCAAACCTTTATCAGAATCTGCCATCAGCACCTGCAGCAGCTCCACTGCTTCCTAACCAATTGCCCCGAAGTAAACTTACGTCGCTTCCCCACCCTGAATCTAACCATCCACCATCCACGTTGACTCCAGAGATGACTTTTCCGAGATATCAAATTCCATCAACTCAGCAGATGCAGCCACCATTTCCTGAACTGCATCAATCACCATCTCAACTTTCACCAAGTTTTTCATCTCACCTGCCTCAACCGTGCCGACTTACTAGTATGGTTAATTCTCAACTCAACCCTCCATTGGGCCATCAACCGGAAGCTGTTTGTTATTTGCCATCTCAAAGTTTCTACAAATCCTCTCAGCAACCTGGGAGGTCTCCACTAGCCCACCATTTATATGCAGCTCCTGGCCACCACATTCAAGATCAACCCTCAGGTGGGCCTTACTCGGAGATAATAGCTGGATATTCACGACCGCCAGGGCATTCTATTGCAAACAATGTTGGTCCTATTGTTGCATCTCCTTCTACCTATTCTGATTCCGCTACTAAACCCTCGCAACTCCCACCATCTTCATCAGGTATCGGAAATAATTACTCACAATTACCGACTGCCAAGATATTACCACTTGCTCTTCCAACTGCTGTTCCTGTGGATGCTGTTTCTAGTACTGGTGATAGTGGAAACAGGGTACCAATCGATGATGTTGTTGATAGAGTTGTTGCAATGGGATTCAGGAGAGATTTGGTGAGAGCAACAGTAAGGAAATTAACAGCGAATGGGCAGTCAGTAGACTTTAATGTAGTGCTGGATAAACTGATGAATAGTGTAGACAAATGATATTAGAAATGCTAAGCCTCACGAGTGGATGCTGTACTGTTTCCAGTGTTTAGATTGATTTATTGTGTATAGAATATGTAGAAATATATGCATCTACATCACTTCATCTTGATTTCTCTGTAAAGCTACATTGTATTTGTGAATGTTTGGTACTGCCCCCTCACTTGTCCACGCAACTTCCTGCTCCTTATGGACGGTGTCACCTTTGTTATGTTTTACAGAATATTTATTTTGGGATTGGGCTCTTGCCGAAGCAATATTCAGGACTCAAAAGATCTGAAGGGCTGAAGCCCATATTAGCATATTCGACGTGTCAACTACCCGGTAAGAGAAGTTAATAGACAAAAATTTCTCAGTTCAATAAGATTAATGATTGGCATGTTCTGCAACTGGGAGGAAAAAAATGATTGAGCATCTCCTTGATGGGTGCTACTTAAATTCCTAGAGACTTAGCTAGAGGACCATTTTTGCCATGAGTAGAAAATGACTAGTCTTGAATGCGGTGAAAGCGGCCTCTCTGGATCTTGTGGACTTAGTTTGTTTTATATCCTCTGGATGAGATTGCTGCGACTGAGCTCTCACAAAAGCACCAATCTGGTCCCAAGCTTGGGTTTTTCTTTCCAAGAGTGCTGATTTTGTGGACCCATTTTAAATATTTAATCAAAAAGAGGTCCAGGCTATTTGTACAATAGGAATTTAGCTGTTTGATCCCTTTCATCATTATTTCATTCTGGCTGTGTTTTTGAGAAAAGATCATCACAGGGATGAGAAACTATTAGGACTCTACCTATTTACCTGGTCACTTGCTAACTTCTTATTTCAACCAAAGTAAGGTCATGCAACAACTTTATGTATATTGAAACAAATCAAGTTTGCTATAATTCATTGTTTGGTAAAATACTAAGATGCTGTTTAATTGCTTTATGATTAAGCGAGAGCAAACAATTATCCGTTATAAGAATTGTTTTGGTTCGATATTAGCTCTTTTTTTTTTTTTAATAATAAACAATTGGGAGATTAAGGAATAATTAAAATAATGCTACAATTGTCACTTGAATACTTGAACCATTGATAAAGAAGTTGGGTCATTGGTGCACTTTCATTGCAACTAATGCAGTAAGTGCGTTTTGGTTTGGTATTAGTTGAATGTCGTAATTCAACTTGAAAAAATTTTACATCCATCAATTTTTTTAAAAATATATTTTAATACAATCTATGAATTACATCATTTATTTTTAATTCATTTTAAATTAAGTGCAAATATTGTATTTAAGAGTCAAAACCTTGTTACAATACTTTTATTTTCACCAACTACTTTGGAATTCAACGAATACAACTCCTTTAAAAGGGAAATTGTGACACTAAACAAAAACCAATAACTTAAGTGGTCAACTATAAATGATTTACATATTTAATTTTTGTCAATACTATCAATTTATGTTTCCCCCGACCTGTCTATATTTTCATCTACGTAATCTTGTGATTTTAAGTTCAAATCCTAATGTTTAAATTCAAGTTGTCCAGTTTACATTACTGCCAGTTTAATGTTTAAGTTTTGCTAGTTCGTTTCAAATCGTTAATGTTTAACCATTACACAATTTATCTCTTAACGGTTTTTTGTCTTCTTTTTTTTCCTTTTCTTTGTTCTTGTTCTGACATACCACCCCTTTTAGTCTTGTTCTGACACAAGCAATGTCATTTGGATTTATTTTGATGTCCTGTCCTTTTGTTGCCAATAGTCATTGATTCTTGGCTCTAATTCCCATTTTTCAACAGTTTCCTACATGTAGGCATATGTATTAATACTGCATCTACAAATCAGAACAGCAAGCAAATTAAAAACTTTAGGGCTAAGGCCATCTATCGTCCCTCTACTATCAAAAATAGTGCATTCTAACCCTTCTACTATGGATTGGTTTCATGTCGTCCCTCTACTATTAATTAACTCTACTTGTCGTCCCTCTACAATGCAGAAACACCCTAATGTCGTCCCTATGTCTACTGTAACTAACGGTGCTGTTTACTAACCGTTAAATGCAACGGTCACACCGGTTATCATTTTTTTTTCCACCCTTTCTTGTGGGCCCCACACTTATCACATCATCTCTCACACAAATTTTTGGGCCTTCGCCTAACTTCCTACTGCCTCCCCAACCCAACGTGGATCCTGCAGAAGGCAATTATGGAATTTACAATTGATAATTTTTAAATAATAAAATATGAAAATCTCATAATTTGAGAAGATAATAGATAAATA